CATCCGTAAGATTATGCAAGCTAATGTTGACTTTGATTAAACTGGATGTTGTTTGAAAATTACAAATGTAATTAACAAATTTTACAAGTAACTTAACACCACAATAATTCAGTTTGAACTTGAATGTGATAAAATAAGGTTTAGATTATTTATATTCCAAAAACATTACATTGGGTATAAGATTGGCAAAACATGCTTTATACATTGAGAAGTTTTGGTCTATTATCCGTTAAAAATGTCAAAGATATTACAATCCTGTCATCTTTGCAGTAAATACATATTATGGTGTACATGTAGTTGATAAAAAAATATAGTGGAATAATTTGGTGTATATCTTTCACTAGGTAATATTTTCCTTACATTTTTATATCCATTTTGATAGTTTTAACAATAATTTTATGCAAATTGTAATTGAAAATGTACTTTAAATTCTATAAACTAAAAGTATACTGACAAAAATAGTGAGAGCACATGACGAACCTGGCAATCTATTTTCATGGCATAATATATTATTAGATAATACTGTGTAATTGTCTTGATCTCTGTCAACAGCAGTCCCTGTCTCCGACATGAGATATGGGCTGGCACGTGATATGTTGCTAATTTTGCGACACCCATTCATTTAGCGATCGCGAACATGAATGGGAACGGACAGCGTTCGTAGGAAGCATACACTGAATGCACAGCATAAATTATTATACAAATTACATTCGAAAATAGGGACGATAATTAACCACGTCTATAAATTACAATTCCTATTATGTGTTGCCACTGTTTAATATTCGATTTTAAATGAAGAGCAGGAACAAAATAGGAAAGTGAAACGGAACGCGTTAATCCCTAATGCAAAATAATAATTCTAACCATCCAAGATTTCAACTTGTTGCTTCCTCCGGTCAAAATGCCTTAACTCACTTCTCGTTAAGACAAAAATAAGACAACAGGCGTTACTGCGCAATCCAACATATTTAAAGTCTGAGGTTACCAAGTATGCCTTAAATAGAATAGATCTCTAAGAAATACGCATGGAAATGAATTTAGAATTACATATTCTCCACTGCATAATATTTATTTTAACCTGTAATTATTAAACGTTATTATTTTCAAGCACTCAACTTAATCGGGTACTAGTGATTAAAAAAGCCATATTGTGTAACACGCAAATCGATGAATTATTTTAGTACAAAGACAATAAATAATCCGAATATAAAAAAAAAACGTAAAATCAGAAGCAAAACGGTAGTGGTATGGAAATAGCTGCCGATATACGGATTTTTAAAGATACTTAAAGATTTATAAACGCAAGCTTTCCACCTCTGTTCGAGTCGTAAACTTAAGTGTAATGCGTTTCATGTCGCATTACATACGTATTATATTGTAGTAACTTTGAGCGTTAGGTCGTCTTTCTACACCTGGTGACATGAATAAACTGTGCCGTTGCGGTCTAATATTAAGTTCGGCTTGTTTATATATAGTGCAATCTCTCCACAATGTCGGAGTTATGTAGACGTGTTGTGTTGGCTTTATCTTTGGATCTATTGTTGATATACATATTTGTATATCTAGAATGTGTAATACAATCAGTTCACCGTATTTCATTGTCCACAAATACGATTTATTTTGTATCGGTATTTTATGCTTCTTATCTTTATTTCTTTGTTTCCTTATCTTTATAACTTTAGATCTACTGTTTGATTTACTACCCAGCCGCCTAAAATACCAAGCAACATTTATAAAATATGTAAGTAACATAAAGATAAAGTAAGAAGTCTAGAAAATTTTTAGAACCTCTATTACCGCTATTTAACGAACAATTCTCAAGTTTACCACTACGATCCTGAGCGACTTTAATACAGCCGAGGCGACGTCAAATAGGATGGTATTACTTGAGACTGTCACAAGGATGAGCCGGTCCAAGACGTGAGATCTTTAATCGAAGCGCATAACATCCTCAAGGCAAGCCCGAACACTTCACAGTACAATATACGTAAGCATTACGACTTTACATGTCAGAATTCTGACATTTCATATAAACTCAATTGCTTGTGTTTGTGTACAATCTCAATTGTGGTTTGATAATCAAGAGTGAACGTATTAGTTGCGTATGATGTATTTAGTAGGAAAATCTAATAGATAATAATGTAAAATTTACTAGTACATTTTAATTTTCCAAATATTTGTTTCGAATGGTAGAAAATTTGCATGTTATAAAACAGCATATTTTTGTAAATCAGTTTTAAAAGCAGAGCAGCAGCATCAAAGGTGCAATACATTTAAGCGGCTTCGGGCTAGTCCTCTCTATGACGGAAGAAGTCCTATATAACATAAAGAATTTACAGGCTGATGATGAAGAAATATGGCATTCATCTACAAATTTTCTAATTGTAGAGATGATTTGCCTGATTTTGATTTTCTTCTAATTTGTTTAGATTAACGATCGCACTACTACGTTTGGTTAGTCTATATATTAGTTTGATTTGTATTTGCATGAATAAATATATTTTCTATTTAACATTTATTATAATTAATGTTTGCTGATAGTAATTTATACATTTTTTTTAACAAAGGTTCGGAAAATACCTGTCCTAGAAGGAACCAGCAAGAAACAGCGGAACTTTTTAAGAAAACAACAGTATACAAACAAGTGTACGATTATTGTGTTATGCAAAAAACTATATAAATCATATTAGAAATAGCTTGACTTTTAAGCCACAGGGTACCAATGTAACTGCATGCCTACATCGAGATGTGAATAGATTTAATTGAGGTATCAAAGTTACTTTCATAAAAATTTCAGTAACTCCATTATCATTCGTCGAACAAAACCAATTTTTAAAGCATACGCTTGGTATTCATATGTTTTATAAAGAATAAAGGTGACAAACGAGTACACAGTCCACCTGATGGTAAATAGACCCTGTGGCCCATAGACATCTACATTTACTCTTGATTAAAAATCAATATGCAGATTCGTATGCCACCCAGAGGGATAAAATGGAATGACTCGAACCCAGTAAAAAGAGTCTCCGGTTTTCTATACTCAGCATACAAAACACTACTGTGTTTCGTATGGTGAGTGTAAAATAGCTTTAAGCTGCTATTTTACGCTGGTATTCTTTGAGAACGTGGTCCTTCCCCGGTCGAGCCGGCCCATTCGTGCTACAGCTGTAATATAGATGTCACCACCACGTCGGATCACGTCTTACTTCCCTTCTTTTTTACATACATTTATTTACGTAGGCACATACTGCTACTATTGTATGTTGTATGTTTTGTCTTTGGATTGATGGTCGCAGGATCAGATGTCTCACACCTTTGACACTGCTGTCCGTTACTGTTCCGGGTATTTTTTATGTGGCGTGAACATGATGGTCATATCTATCGGAAGCTGTTAGAGTTTATGCATCAACTTCAAAATATTTAGAAGTGGTTTTCAATAAGTAGGAATATTTTGTTTATTTATGTTCAGTCATAATACGTTAGCTATTACACGTCACGATGCCTGATTTCAGATATTAGTTTAATAAAGATCTGATGGTGGGATCCATGAAAAAATCGTACTCAACATCATCAACTCTTTAATTTGCAAAGGCATCTGAACAAAATATTAACGAATGATTCGTTATCACGTCAACCGATTTCGATTATATAATTTTTCTTATAAATAATAATAATATTTTGACTTCCAGATAAAGGATCTCAATTCCACATGTTCTATTTTTTATATGTGTGTTACTCGATACCTTAGTAAATTGTGGACTGATTTTGATTATTCTTTTTATTAAATAGGTTTTTTATAGGTGGTTCCATATAAAATTGAAGAAAAATTCTACACCTACAAGTGGAAAAATAGGGATGAAGTTTTTAATATAACAATTTAAACAACATTAGATTATCAGCAAAGTTCTTTTATTATAATCATATGAAGACAGCCTGTGAAAATAACAAAGCGACAGATATACACAAAATTGTATTTTGTTCTTTTATAAGAGTTAACAACAAATAAAGGAAAAATATGTTTTTGGATGGTTAAATTTATATCAGCCACATATAAATGTCTATCAAACCGCTGTTTTCTGTAGCTTTTCTACTAAATATTTAAGATATTCCTGTGACACCTTTTTACATATTATCGTGAAAGGAAAAGTTTATCATAACAAGATACACAACAAAAGAAACGAGTTATATATTAAATTAATTGTTGTACGTTGCGAAGTTTTCAAAACAAGTACGTTATTAAGTTTCTGCAAGTGTATCTTACAGATTTAATAGACAATACTATGAAAGACGGAGTTTCTTGTAAACTTAAGCAGAAGTTGGATAAGTTTCTGTGCATGCCCTTCCCGTAAATTGAAATGGATACTGAAATTATTTATAGAAAACTCTATTAATTTGTTTGATTAATCTTAAAGTAGACGAGGGAAATGTTTATTTTAAGTATAACACAATTATCATAAACAAATTACAAGCATACATTAAACAAGCTATATTGGTACCTAGTATAGTTGTTGTAGATTCAAGTAGGTTATTAGTCAGAGAAAAATACTGGCAGCTCTTGCCTATGGTTATACATAATATAAATACTTATATATATATATATATATATATATATATATATATATATATATATATATATATATATAAGTATTTATATTAAGTATTATATTTTTGTATATATATATATATTACTTTTCATTCTGACTTTGATCCATGATGTTTTAAAAATGAAAAAAGTAACGAAAAGATGTTTTAAAGGACATGAAGAAAATATTATAATTAGTAACTTATATAAAGTTTTTTAACTTGTTGTCTTGATTATATTGATTAAAGTAATAAATACAGAAAAGTCTTTAATTGCAACTATCACATATGGCGACCGTGAGGCAAAGAATTTAACTTATTAAAAGTCCGGAATATCCGCTGTAGTTCGTGCTCTAATAAGTAAGTCTGATTAAGATTATAATAAAATTGGAGGATTTGAGTACATATATTAAATAAAAATGGAGACTGCAGCGGCGATTAAAGAGAACCGGGAGCGAGAGCAACTAAGAAGAATTTTCAACCTAACAGCGACGAAGCTGGAAGCTGATATAAAAGTCAAAAATTTCTCGCAAGTGATGATCGACATTGAATTTCTTAAGAGTAAGGTTGAGCGATTAGAAGCTTTAAATAAAATGATACAAGACCGCATGTTAGAAAGCGACAGTTATGATGAAGAATCCTTCAGCATTCAAATTGATACAGCGGATACGTATAAACGCAGATGGCACACAATTAACAATCAGATAAAGACAGGTATGTTGTCAAAAATTCCTCTTGATAAATTTGAAGATGTAAAGCCAGTCAGGAATTACAGTTTACCTAAGTATGAGGTAAAGAAATTTGATGATAACCTGAAGAACTGGTTAGCTTATTGGGGCCAATTTAAGAAAATTGACGAAGATCACTCATTGTCTGGAGAGGATAAGTATAAGTACCTCCTTCAATCATTGAAGGAAGATAGTAACGCTCGAGTTTCGGTGGAAAGTTTCCCTCCGTCTGCTGAAAATCATACAAAGGCTATTGAACAACTCAAGGCAAGATTTGGACGGGAGGATCTTCTCATACAGGCTTATGTTAGGGAATTATTAAGTTTAGTTTTAAACAATAATAAAAAACAAGTATCTATTAGACTATTATATGACAAAATTTCAACATATTTGATGTCTTTAGAAACGTTAGGTATTGTTAAACAGAAATATGAAATTATTTTGTATCCTCTTGTTGAATCAGCAATTCCCGAAACAATTCTTATTGCTTGGAATAGATGTAACACTGATCCACCTCTTGGTAATCAATTGACAAGTTTATTAAATTTTCTTAAAAACGAAGTTGAAACAGATGAGCGAATTTATTTAGCAAGGTCCGATTTTAATTGTATTGGTACTAATCACACTCTCCACAGGAAACAAAAAAGCAGCTTACTAACAGCAGCATCGTTAGTATCAAATATAAAACCAAAGGAGTCAGGTAAAGTAGTCAATGTTATTTGCTATTTTTGTGACAAAAGCTATCATAATTCTTTTGAATGTAGTAGAGCTAATAAGATGTCCCTAGAGGATAGAAAGGAAGCAATAAAAAAGAAAGGTAGCTGATCCATATGTCTAATAAATGAAAAGGTCACATGGCTAATAAATGTAAAAGTTTTGTTAGATATTTGTCATGTGAAAAAAGACACTTTGTGATTTTATGTCCGGAAATTCATAAGAAAGAAAAGAGTGGAACATTAGAAAATGTTTCGTTATGTGCCAGAACTAATATGACAACTTTGCTACGAACACTTATTGTCAATATGACCTATCAAAGAAAAATCAAGAAGGTGAGAGTTTTGTTAGACAGTGGTTCGCAAAGGTCGTATGTAAAAGCCAAAGTTGTTGAAGAATTAGGATTGCATGAGGCTGGCACAGAAATAATAGGTCACACATTATTTGAGGGTGTGGATCAGCCTGCCAAGGTATAAAAATGCTTTGATGTTTTGGTAAGTAGCTTAGACAATAGGTTTTCTGTTAGAATCAATGCATTACAGCAGTCTGATTTATGTGGGCACCTGCCAAAAGTTAATAATGAAAAAATATTAGAGAAGTTACGGGACTTAAATATTGTGATCAGTGATTTTGATTATAGAGATACTGAGATAAGTCTCTTAATTGGGTCGGATTACTTAGGATCCATTATACATAATGAAATGGTTAGATTAGGTAACAACCTGATGGCTGTTAATACCAAGTTAGGATGGACATTACAGGGACCAATGAAAGTTCAAAGTACAGTCAATACATCAAGCACTACATGCTTTTCAAAAACAAATCTTTCTGATTTGTGGAGTATTGAGTTATTGGAAATTCGAGATCCTTATGAAAATAAGTCTAAAAAGGACACTGAAGTCGAGGTTTTGAAAACTTTCAATTATAAAATTTCAGTAAATACACAAATTCGCTATGAAGTCACATTGTTCTATAAAGAGGGGCCAAAATTAAACATTATTAGCGCCAATGAAGAGATTGTAGAAGCGGAAGTAACCAAAAAGGCCAAGATTAATACAAATATCACAATAAAACTATTCAGTCAAAATTGACATATTTTTCAAAATATAACCGCATAGTTAGACTTGTGGCATGGATACTTCGTATGAATCCTAAAGTAAAAATAAAGTTTGACATAAAGGGGCCAGACGTAACAAATGCTGAATATATCTATGCAGAAAAAACACTAATTAAATAATTACAGAAAGAGAATTTTATAGAAGGGTTTTCGTTGCATAATATAAATTCAAAAATAGATGCCGATGGGGTGATAAGAGTAAAAACACGTTTAGAGTTGAGCAAATAAGACAAGGATTTTGTAAGGACAATACTTCTACCAGGAAAAAACGAAATCGTACACCGGTTAGTGCAACAGAGAAATGAAAAATTAAATCATGAAGGAACTCAGCTCTTGCTATCCAACCTCAGAAACAATTTATAGATTTTAAACTTAAGACGTCTTGTTAAAAGTGTTGTATCTAAATATTTTATATGTAAGAGATACAAGACAAAACATTACGAGGTTCCTGAAGCACCATTGCCATCAAACAGAGTTGAGGTAAACGCAGCATTCCAGATAACTGGTATAGATTTAGCGGGGCCACGACATCTCTGTGACCAAAGGAAATGTTGGATAGTACGAGTATTATTTACTTGTACTACATATAGAGCAGTTCACCTAGAGCTTGTGGAATCTTTATCCACAAATAGTTTCTTGATGGCCTTACGTCGTTTTATAGCTCGAAGGGGCCGCATAAACATTATATATACTGATTGTGGTACGAATTTTCAAGGTTCAGCCAATTTATTAAAAGAGGTTGATTGGGCAAAAGTCGAAACAGCAACTAGCATAGTTCCACCAGCTATCAAGAGGCGTTTTGTACCTCTACGTGCGCCCTGGTGGGGAGGATGGTGGGAGCGCCTTATAAAGGTAGTAAAGGAAATGTTAAGAAGAATCTTGGGAAAACAATCTTTAACTTGGATTGAATTATCAACAATACTTTGTCACTGCGAAGCAATCATTAACAGCCGACCATTGACATACGTAGCAACAGCTGATGACTCTCTTAAACCACTTACTCCAATGATGTTTTTACATCCCTTAGATAATAGTGAGATGCCTGATTTAGATCTGATTGATGCAAAAAATATAAATATTCGTTTACAATATTTAAACAAATTACGTGCAGATTTCCGACAACGTTTTAGAAACGAATATATTGCTTTAATTTGTAGTAAAGATAGGTGTAAACAAAATTTGCCGAAATTAAACGATATTGTTCTTATTGAAACTGACACTAGTCGGTTATATTGGCCATTAGGTATTACAAAGGAGTTAATTATAGGTGCTGAAGGTAATTGTAGGGTTGCAAAAGTACAAACAGCTACCGGTGAATCGGTAAGAGCTGTACAAAGTCTTTACCCACTGGAATTAACAACAGTTACAAACGAATGGCACAGGGCCAGCCCATCTACTAATACGAGTAGAAGTAAGACAGTGACTAACCCTAACATTAAGGATTATAGTCCCCAGACGACTTTGAATTCAGACATAATATCATCTGATTTACCTCAAACATCTTCTATTAGTACTAGATATGGTAGAATAATTAATGTTCCAAGAAGATTCTTAGACTAAGGTGACGAAATGCATTTAGTCAATTAGTTAGTAAGCTAATTTTAAGTGTATTCACACATTCATTACAAATATGAATTCAACCCTATTTCAATTAATTTTTAATATTAATTAGAGAGCAGTATTTTAAATAAAGAATGTTTATTTAAAATACTGCTCTCTAATTAATATTAAAAATTAATTGAAATAGGGTTGAATTCATATTTGTAATGAATGTGTGAATACACTTAAAATTAGCTTAATTCGATTACATGTTATGTTTAAGTATTTCAAATTATATTATATCGTCTCTACTTTCATATTTTTCTGTGTGGGGATGTTTTAAAGGACATGAAGAAAATATTATAATTGGTAACTGTTTTTTAACTTGTTGTCTTGATTATGTTGATTAAAGTAATAAATATAGAAAAGTCTTTAATTGCAACCATCACAGTAGTTGTAGCACAAATGGGTCGGCTTGATCGGGGTAGGGCCACGCTCTCATAGAATAACAGGCGTAAAATAGCAGCTTAACACTGCTGTGTTTCGTATGGTGAGTGTAGAGAACCGGAGATCCTTTTTACTGGAAAAGAGGTATTCCATTCCATGTTAGCTCTCACGGGTGACAACGCATCTGCATTTTGATTTTTTATTGAGGATAGATGTAGATATCTATGGGCCACAGAAACCACTATCATCAGGTGGACTGTGTGCTCATCTGTAACCCTATCCTATAAAAAAGTGTATAAAATATGCTAGTACATATTTAAAATCAAATGGTTGAATTTAAGTGTCCGTCAATATGGCGCGACATTGTAAGCTCACTTTCTTTACCCATTACCTATTAAATCAACATTGCAGTTATGTATGTTTGTCTTGCTTGCTCTTCGTTTGATCTTAACAGTATTACTACAGATTTGTATGTATTTTGTAATAAGTGATAGCTAGATAACGTTTTCTTGCAAGATAATTTTTCCTCTACAATTAATTCTGTTATTTTTTATTCACTATATTTACCTAAAATGTATCTGCTTATTGTGACTTAACATACAATAAACACTAAATATTTTACTGGCCTAAAATAATAGCTAGTGACAATAAGCAGCATCAAAGGTATTTTACTATGATTCCCAGTTTGCTTGATAAGCTTGGCGCTTACGGGAAATCCTCATTACTAAGGGTTAGGCCGCAACCCAGGAGTGAACTATTCACAGGCTATTAATTAATTATGCGATACATTTCTTTAATAAGCCACTACATCAAAATTATCATCTACGAATGGGAAGTATATGGAATAATTTACATCGCCATTAGATACTTTTTTCCGTCACTACTCGAACCCGGAATAATTACTTGTAGGTCATACAAATACTTGTTCCTTATGGCGGGATTCAAACCCGCGGCCCTTAGCGCTACAACTCATTGCTAAACTATTTTTTTTTATTATTGCGCCAAGGAACCATGAAATTAACTTTTATAATATATAATTAGTGTGACAAACGAGCACACAGTCCACCTTATGGTAAATGGATACTGTGGTCCATACCTTGAGGATTAAGATGTAATGCCTAGTATCCAGTAATAAGGGTCTCCGGTTCTCTATACTCCCCATATGAACCACAGCAACATTGAGCTGCTATTTTACACTGGGATATTGTGAAAGCGTGGTCCTTCCCCGGTCAAGCCCACACGTAAAAAATCAAGCCCACACGTAAAAAATATGTTCGATTGTCGCTGGATAAAATTCATTGGATTCTCTTCCATTTTCACTACTTCACATTATATATTTGTCAGTGTTGGTTTCTAATTTTTTTTATAGGGTCGGGTGACAAACGAGCACACAGTCCACCTGATGGTAAGTGGTTACTGTGACCCATAGACATCTACATCTATCCTCAATAAAGACTCAAGATGCAGATGCGTTGTCACCCGTGAGGACTAAGATGGAATGCCTCTTTGCCGGTAAAAAGGGTCTCCGGTTCTCTACACTCACCATACGAAACACAGCAGCGTTAAGCTGCTATTTTACGCTGGTTTTCTGTGAGAGCGTGGTCCTTCCCCGTTCGAGCCGACCCATTCGTGCTACAACCATAATATAGCTGCAGCATGGCTCTACCACGTAGAAAATAAAAATTAAAATTAATAGACAAAAATTAATGTACATTTCACTTTTTTTAATTAGTAAGTAATCATTCAAAGCAGAATGGTAATATCTGAATAACTAAAAAGGCGCACTGGTTTAATAGTCTTTATGAGCTTTGATTGGAAACATTCGAAGTTCAAATGCCAATTTATTGACGATATTAACGGCAGCAGCATCCATCAGAAATTTCAACATGTCAGTGCATGCTACAGTAGTGTAATTTGTGCGAATAGTTTAGTTTATTGATAATCTATTATGGTATTTATTTATATCCAGTTTAATTTATAACATAGCACTACCTTAACATAAAACTAA